CACCATCTCTGGCCGTAACATCCTGTCTGAAGTGAGGTGACCAAACCTGGACAAAGTTTCTAAATAAGCTTTGACCAACAATCTATAGATTTATTTCAGTTGCTGTTAAAATTTGTGTGAGAAGCCAATACCATTCCCTAATGAGAATCAGAATATAACATTGATCACCTCAGACGATATGAGCCATACACAGTCACGACATTTCACAGTAAAAATCCCTGCAAACTTTTGAGATATTTTGATGATGTGTTAAGACGTTATATCAAATTTAAGAATTATTATTATTCCATGAAATCTCATCTAAATTAAATGATGTTTTAAGTATTGATAGTGAATTAAACAGGTGCCCTGCAGGAAAACTCTCACCAGTTGGAAAACAATGCATATTTAAGTTAAATTCTGATATATAATATGCAATTGAGTGTCTGAACAACGAAAGAATTATCAAGATTTGTAAAGGCTTGAAGTGAAGCATGGTGCTGAATCTACTGAGTCACCAGTGAGATTTTTCTCAGCTCAACTTTGTTTATACTGCAGTGCCTGGAATTCCTTTCTATACTGGGAGTTATGCTAAAGACACTAACTATTTCTTATATCTTGGCTCAGTGACTGCTATCCAATCAACATAAATCTTGTGCAGTACAGATTTATAGGATGACTACAGGTGGATTACAAAGTAGTCTGAATTATGCTTGTTCTCTGTTATAACTAAAAAGTAACAAAACAGACAACAGAACAGAGGACGTCCTGCCGAGGCAACTGATATAAATGAATATTTAATTCTGTTTAAGACAGTGACAAAGTGGTAAGTAAGCTGCCTGCCAGATATCAAGTCCTGGATCAGCCCTAATTTGCTTCAGTTGAATGTTAATGCTCCTTGTCCTTATCAGCTCCTTGTCACTTTTTGCGGTGACCGTATTGACCTGTACAGATGCTCACTCCACCTCATAGAACTTGTGCAAAATCTCAGTGTCTTGCTTAGCCCTAACTATTTTCTGACCCCACAACTTACTGCTTAGTTGCTCAACTTTTCTCACTTCTGCAGGTGCACCCAGCCCTCTGCTCCTAGGTGTCTTGTTCGACCCTCAACTGTCTTTTCTTCCCCACATCCAAGCCATGACTCGCTCTGCCTTCCCTCACCTCCGTAACATCGCTTGACTCCGCCACTACCTCACCCCTCAGGCCGCTGACATTCTTGTTCATGCCTTCGTCACCTCCAGGCTCGACTATGCAAACACCCTGCTTGTCAGACTTCCCAACTCCTCCCTCCACAGGCTGCAGATAATCCAGAACTCTGCAGCCCATGTCCTCTCGCGCACCAAACTCCGTGACCCTATCTCCCTCAATCTTGCCCATCTCCACTGGCTCCCTATCCTTCAGAGGATCCAGTTCAAGATCCTGGTCCTCACCTACAAAGCCTTCCACGGCCTCGCCCCACCCTACCTCTGCAACCTTCTAACCCCCTACGAACCCACCCGTTCCCTCCGCTCAGCCGGCTCTGGCCTGTGCCACGTCCCCCGACCCACCCGCCCCACCAATGGCGGGAGAGCCTTCAGTCACTCTGCCCCAACCTCTGGAACTCCATCCCTGAGTCACTCCGCCTCGCTCCCTCCTTAGCCTCCTTCAAGTCCCGCCACAAGACCCACCTTTTCGACCATGCCATCGGCCACCCCCCTTCCCCTCCCCTCCCTTCTCCCCCCCTGACCCCAGCTCAGGTCTCAAATGCTGTACTCTGTCCAGCACCTTGGGACGTCCTCCCGACGTGAAAGGTGCTATACAATTGTAATCTTGTTGTTGTTGTTGCAGCTTGTGTCCTCTCCTGCACAGCCTCTATCAACCCCTATCCTTGCTAAAACTCCACTGGCATCCCATTCCCTCGTGATTTGAATTCAAGATCGTCATTCACACTTACAAATCTCTCCGTGGACTTTCTCCACCGTAGTTCTGCAAACTCATGCTACCCCACCCATCCGACCACTTCACTTTACTCAGCTAACAGCGTCTTCTTTCATGTCTCCCACCCAATTGCCTCACCATCGGTTGTTGAGCTTACTACCTTTCTGCGCTACTCTCTAGAACTCCCATCACCTTGGTCTCTCTCTCTCCCCCTTTTAAAGTGTGCCTAAAGAACCATTTTGAAATTGTAAGCTGGTACAGGAGACAGCAGCAAATCTTGTTCAGTCTCCTGTATTAGCTTGTGATTTCAAAATCTTAAAGGGGTGCGTGTTTCTCTCTGAGAAAAATGACTCTCATCCAGCATACAGAGTATGCAATTTCCCTTCTGTTTGACATTAAATATTATGAATTTTGTTTTAAAAATTGAGTCACATGGAGTTAAATGCCCACAAAATACACAGTGTAACACCACTTTACAAGATAATGTGAAGTGCTTTGAGACATCTCAATGATGTGTTAAGAAGCTATATGAAATGCAATGTGTGGGTGACACAACTGTTTAAGAGACTGGGCTAGATTGACTGAATCCTTCCTCAGATGTAATTTGCCACCGAGGGTGGGAATTATAAAACATGTACAATGAATAGAATTACAGAGGATGGTCTCTGTAAAACTCCAAAACTAAAAACAATAATTAAATTGGTCATTTTCAATCTACGACTGTTTGTGGGACATTGCTGTGCGCAATTGGCTGCCGCGTTCGCCCACAAATATACAGTCAATTCACTTTACAGTGTGTTCTGTGAAGCGCTTTGGGACGTCCTCCCGACGTGAAAAGCGCTATATCAAATGCAAGGATTATTATTATTATTATTATTATTCCCAATGCAGTTCAGGTATTTGTCCATGACTAAATAGAGATTTTGGGTGAGCTGGATTGAATCAATTGATACTGAAATTGAGCTGAATTGATTCAGGGCAGCCTTTCCTTTACCAATAGGATTTACTTAAAGCATACCGAAATAAAGCTATGAGTCTAAGTCACTGAACTGCATCTGGGCACATGTTTGCTGGTATCATTTAATGACATTGTGGCAATATTGAAACTAATTTAAAAATGTACATATCATAGAGCCCTTGAATGTTGCAACACTGAAACAACAACAACAAAATTGAACAGCCATTAGGCCCATTTGGGGGTTAAAAATTCAATATTCCATAACAGGTCCACTGTTTATAGATTATTATTGCTAAATATGATGTGAAAGGTTGCATTTTCCTTCAACTTCTAACCCCCCGCACCATCCACCCAGCATGATTTCAGTATAATGGAGTAAAGATTTCTGCACCCACAGGATGGATCTGTGGTGTAACATCACATGTTCACCCCCCATTCCTGCTGTGTATTAAAGTCATAGTTCACTTTGGCCACTTGGGTAAAGATACAAAATCCGTCAGATATATATAAAAGAAATACGAGACTCAGAGTTTGAACTTGCCCCAATCCCTGACCTTTGTTTTTAATGAAAATAAAAAAGATTCTCAATTCAAAAAAAAACAACCCTAAACTTGACAAAACCTGGAGAGGAGCCAGGTTTTGTGCTGCTCTACTGCTCTAGGCTCAGTAACTTCATTGCTTCAGATCCATGTCCGATTTCATTGGTTTGCAGTAAATCAGTCCATTCAAAGAGATTCATGTAAATATTACACCTGAAAGGTCAGAATCCTTTAGTATTCACTTAAAGTTGTGATTCATTCCATAACCTCAGGCTGCAGAGCTGTGTTCTCAATAGCTGAAGCAGGAGTAGCAACAGTCTTTGATAATCACAAGGTTTGTCCAGGCCGGAGTTCATTAGATTGAATGACCGGACAGGACTCATTTAATCATAATCCACCACATTTGAAGGAACTGAGTCAACTCTGGTATGTGTTAGCTTTGTTCAGTTGGTAGTACTCTCAAGTTTAACCCTACTTAGGCATGCACTATCACTATCTTTATTTTGTCAGCCGAGTGTCTGACACGAGAGGAAACACATTACAATGCTGTGTATCCAAACCAGATCTAGAAATTTCCTCATCTGGAATGGAGAATGCACTCTCTCTCCAGAGGGATGCAGCACAGTGCTTACCTAATTCCAGAGAGTATTAGGCTACCTTTCACGGATCAAGTAATGTGTGTAATTTAAATGGCATGGGCTTAGGAAAGCTGTGTGGCATTTCATCTTCAGAATCATCCTCCCAAATAACCTTACACTTCAACATGTTTTTCAATGACATTCAATTGGGAGAGAGTTATATTCTCTCAGTGTGATGTTCTATGCAAATGGCATTTCTGACTTCCTGCTATCAGAGGTGTTAGAGCATGAACAAAGTCAGCACACCATCTTATTGTTGCAACTTCAGTGAGGCAGTATCCTTTCAATACTCATCACTTACACCTGCCAAACGCAAGTGCATGCACGCAAAGTGACAGTGGAGAAACGTTAGGGCAAGAGCAAAACTAACTGTGTTGCAGTCAAATTGTGTTTACGAAACCAGAAATTCGTAGAGTTTCAAAATCTTAGCAGTTTTACTTTCGATAAACTTTCAAATCAAACGATCCTGCTTCATGTTTGTAACCATAACAGCATTTGAAACCTTGAGCAAGTTTGGGCCTCACATTTTGTTTCCACATGGATATGTCTTTCAATAAAGAAGATCAACCCTTTAATTATTGGTGATTAGGGAAACTCATTGCCATTCCTTAACATCATCCAAACCAAACAACCGGAAGTTCTATATATGCATATGCATGGAAATTTGCATTAGTTTGGAATGGAAGTCACACTCGCTTCCCAGATGGACGTACTCTACTTACCTAATCCTTCGAAGTAATCAGTTGGCCGAAGGCAAGCTTGTGGGCATACAGTGTGCATTGGGTGAACTGCTGGAGTTTGACTAGGCAAAGCCATGTAACTAGTCATTGTGAACACTGTCTGGCATAAATATAATCAGTACAAGATATTTTGAGTTTCAACAAGTTATATGATAATTTGTTATCATTGAGTGTCAGTAAGTTATATGATGTTAACCACTCCTTTAATTCTTCTCTGTTTTAACACCAGGTAATTCAGATTGATTTTGAAGAATTTGACTTAGAGATCGGTTATGACACTCTCACAATCGGTGATGGCGGTGAAGTTGGTGACCCCACAACAGTACTGCATGTGTAAGTGTTTTAGTTTGTCCCTCAACCTTTTTGTCTGACTTCTCTCTATCTGTCTTCAAGACCCACCTCATAATTCTACCATATTTACAGTCACTTCCTACTCCTTCTCCCCTAGTGGATGTGCACTCTGCTATTGTAAAGACTCTGAGATGTTATTCTATGTTAAGGACGCTATATAATGCAACTTGTTGTTAAATAGATATATTTCAGATACTGTTACTTGCAATTTCTGGTTGTTTTTTGAATTTTGAATTTTAATATAATAATTTGATTAATTCTAACATTGTCTGGGAGTTTAGGCATAAGGCATCTGATTTACAGTAAAACCAATTGGGGAAATAGATTTCATTGTCACTCTCATGCTTACTTTGATCAAGGGAAAACAATAACAAGATTGAGATGGTAGAACAGAGGCTAATCACAGATTGGACGCATTCCGCCGGATAATACCAAAAGTGCACAATCTGACATACTTCCTAAAAGGCAGGTGATCTTAATAAAGTGAGCATTCAAATGCCTCCAAAAAATTAATACCTCAATATTGGCTCAAAGCACTACACAAAGTGGCACACATCCATAGCGGGAAATTATGACATTTAAAGAAGCTGACAAATCTATAGATCTATATTTTAGAATATTTTTAGACTTGGCTTGGCTACCTATATTAGGAACTTGTAAGAAGCTAAATTTCATTGAGTGAAAGGGATGAGCACAGAACATGAGGAATTCTGTAATTTTGAAACCTCTGCATCCCTATTTAGTGATTGTGTTATAAAATGCCATGTAAAAAGGCTGAGGAGAAACTTGGCTGTCAGGATGTGATGCAGAGAAGACATGCGGCTAATTAAATGTGATTGATTATCAATTAGTTTATTTCCATTGACATTTTAAGTTCAGAACCTGAAGCCTAATATACAATTTAGTCTCAATCTATAAAACTGTTTTGTTTTAAAATTTAAGATTATGGAAAATTCTTACATTTTGCCTTAACTTGGAAGCTGTATCTTTTCAAGACAGATTTTAAGAATTTCTCAATACTCTGTGATCTTAAATGTTAAGATAGAATAAGCTTACAAACTAAATCCAGTGGTATTTTGGGCACATCTATCATAGGAACATAAGAAAATAGGAGGATGAGGTCATTCAGCCCATTGAGCCTGTTCCACCAGTTTATTTGATCTTGTCAAAAATTTTAATTGCAATACCCTTTCACCATGCCCTTAAATCCCTCTACTACTCAAATCTTTGTCTTCCTCTCTCCCTCTATTACTCAAATATTTGTCTTCCTCTCTTCCTCGACCACTTTCGATACCATCGACCACTCTATTCTCCACCGTCTATCCTCTCACCTCCAACTCAACGGTTCTGTCCTTGCCTAGTTCCAATCATACCTTTCCAATCGTCTGCACTTGTAACCGCCAATAACTTCTCCTCTAGTTCCCACACTATCACGTGTGGCAGCCCTCAGGGCTTTGTCCTCGGTCCACTCTTCAATCTATATTCGTTCCTGCTCGGTGATGTCCTCCACAGGCATTGGGGTCAATTTCCACCTGTAAGCAGTTGACACCCAACTTGATATCTCCCCCTCCACCCTTGACTCCAGGACAGGTGATGATCTGGCAAATTATCTGTCTGACATCAAGTCGTGGACGAGAGCCAACTTCCTCCAACTCATTGTTGACAGAGGCCCTCCTGCTTGACTCCCAGCGGCGCCTCTTCATCTCAGCCACTGACATTATCGCTATTTATGACTGCATTCTTCACCTCACTGAGCCAATATGAAACCTCGGTGTCCTTTTCGACCCCCAGCTATCCTCCATACAGCATCTCTGCCCCCACACTCTGGAACTCTATCCCGCAATCCTCCGCCTCAAACCCTTTCTTGCCTCCTTCAAGTCCCATCTAAAGAACTTCCCCTCTGACTGTGCCTTTGGCCACCCTTCCACTCCTGCTCCCCCTGTACTTCACCCCTCCTGACCCCCAACTCCCAGCTCGGGACTAAAAATCCCTGACTGTCCAGCATCCTGCGACATCTTTCCAACATGAAGGGCATATATGAGTGTAATTTGTTGGCAGTGTTGTTAAACATCCCTGTGGATTCCTTTCTGGAACAGCAGTCCACAACATCGCAAACTTCTGTGTGAAGAAATGCTTCCTGGCCTCAGTCATAATTGTCTTAGAAGAAATAAAAAGAATGTACAGACTGAATGTACAGAAAGTCGATTTAAGACTATTTACATATTTGCCAAATTCTAGATGGTAGAATATTGGGCCCTATAAATGGCCTTTGATGACTGGGTAACAAATGGGTAGCCAGGAGTTTTTCTTGAAAAATGCCTGATTGTATCAGGTACTGAAAAGCTGCTGGTGGTGGAACAATAACCAACTTGAGTTACACTCTTAGTGAGGAAAGAGATTGGAAGACAAAATAGATGGGGAGCACATAACCTGAATAATAAATAATACAGCATGGGGTTTGAGACTTTCATCGAATCGTGGATGTTCATGTTTTTTGATAAACAAATTGTTTTTCACTTTATTGATATTATCTGAAAGTTTTGAATAGAGTTTAGGATCACTCTTTCCTTTCTGTTACATAACCAGATTCACAACTTGAGTGGAGATCAAGGCTTTTTACCATATTGCCAAAATTGAGTTGCATAGAATTACATAGAGTAACACAGCACAGAAACATACAATTTGGACCAACTAGTATTACACCACATAACTCACTAACCCCTCCTGTTCTCACCTATTTCCTTCTCTCAAATGTATGAATCAAGTTCTCTCTTAAATATATCAATACTATTTGCTTCAAACACAGCTTCTGGCAGTGAATTCCATATTACTTTCTGCATAACCAAAAGTTATTGTATCATGTCAGTGCTGTTCATCATTATTTATTCTGGTTTGGCAACAATTAGTTTCAAATACATTAAAACACTGAACTCTTGCAGCAAGGTTTTTTAAAAAATCCTTATTTTAGAGAAAAAAAACTTTAGTCATTGACTGTTTCTAATCTGACGTTCAGCCGAATTAGTTATTTATTTTTCTGTCTGTTTCTTATTGTCTGCAGCCTGACAGGCAGCTTTGTCCCAGATCTCATTGTAAGCAAGAACAGCCAGATGTGGTTACATCTGCAAACAGATGAAAGCATTGGATCAGTTGGTTTCAAGATAAACTTCAAAGGTAAAATGATGAAAAACATGATGCACAACAACAAGTGTGAATAATGCTGTTCAGATTTCATGTTTCAATGATATTCTGTATTGTGTGCACCAAAGGAGACTCCTGCTGCTTCCACCTGAACTGTGAGTACACACATTATTTGGCAAACCCGTGAATGCTTTGATATATGCTAATACATGGCCCTTGGTCTTTCTGAGGAAATCTAGGGAATCGGACGCCCTGAAAATAACAAAAGGAATCAGTACGAGCACACACATTGTAAATAACATTTGCTCAGGAGAGTGTACGATTGTGAGACAATGCTATAAATAGATGCTCACATTTTTCAAAACTGTGATAAATATGGAAAATACTAATTGTCACATTGCCATAACACATTTACATAGGTACTATACATATATGTGTATATATATACATAACTTGTATTTCTCACTCCCAAATAACATGCAAAATTCTTAGTATGCTTCAGATATTTAATTCAGCTTCCAAACTAAACAATGAATCAGCACTCCCCTCCATTCATAATGGATGAAGGCAGAAGTCATGTGGGCAAGGGGAAGTAATAACCTGGACTGCAGTAAGTTTACCAGTTTTGGTGATTGGTGCTTGGAATAGTGAAGTTCCAGCACACCCCCAAGGTTGGTAACTTTGTCCACCATCATTTTTTTAAATCCAAATATACAAGAAGTGACTTTCTCTCATCAATTGAATTACATTAAGGTTGCTGAATACTTTAGTGTATCAGTTGTCTACAATGTAACCTTGACAGTAACACCTATTGTGGCTCCTTTTTCCCCAAACCCTCCAAAATTATGTGAAGTTCAAAAAAGGGAATCATATTTCTTTCTGTAAGTCTTCATCAAATCAACAATGAATACAAAATAAATCAAACTTTATAGCATATCTATAGCAGGTGGGCTAAGTATTCTATTCCATATTCGCTCATAAAGTATTCCAGTGGAGTAAATTGTCTTTTAAGAGGAAATGTGTTGGGTCCTGATGTACCTTGCCTCCCAATGCCTTGAGGCGCTGCTTTTGTTATGTAAAGCAGTGGTATGAATCAACACTAATAAACTCATGAATATTGATTTACAACATACGGTTTGTAAGCATGCCAGAATCCGGAATTTACAAGATGTAGCAGACTGTGGTTATTTCTTACTCAGGATAAAAGTGTAAACAGATATTTTTCTAAAAAATAGATCTATTTAAATTCCTAACTGGAGTGTTAAATGAGGAATATGTACGTATATCAACAGCTGTATTGATAATGAGCACCTCACTCCAATACTTATTCCTTAAGCTTAATATATTGATTGTCCCTGAATATGGCTACATTGTATAATTTTTTTTATTTGTGGATGAATTGATTAAAAAGTTTTAGTCAAAGTTTTTTTTTAGAAAATATTTGAATGTGCTGACTGGACAGGTCATAAGACTATTTCATGCTTTGGCACCTATATGTCAAAAGTAGACTTTGTTCTTAGCCAGTTCCCTCGGGGTTATGTATTGATTTAATTCTTTAAACGTTGTCACTTTGAACATCAATAATATGAGTAAACCACTTATTGATGTCCACAAAGACAGTCTGTCAGCTAAAACAATGAAAGGTTGAAAATTGCGCAAAACTGTTCCCAAGACATTGACTATAGGAACAATATAGTGGATACCTTGGAGTGAGCTCAAGGCATTAACCTCATCTCAGGGCTCCAAATGTGATTTGGAACTTCTCAGATGATTCTCCATTGGACTATGATTTCTCCTGGACTCTTCCATGAAATGATTGCTTTTTAACAAAGCCAATCCAGACCTTGGCATCTTGTTTGACCCTCAACTATCTTTTCTACCCCACATCCATGCCACGTCCACTCTGCCTTCCCCTACCTCCGCAACATCGTTTGGCTCTGTCACTGTCCGCTTACACGCATTCATAACATCCAGGCTCGACAACGCAAACTACCAACCTGCTCACTGTCTCTGCTCAACGGGCTCCGGCCTGCTTCACGTAGTCCCCCTCGACTGCCCCACCACTGGTGGGCAGAACTCGTTCCACTCTCCTGCTCTTACCGTGCAAATTCTTCCTTTTTAAGCACCTAGTTCCCTTTTTGAAAGCTATTATTGAATCTGCTTCCACCACCCTTTCAGGTATTGCATTCCAGACCGTAATACTCTCTGGGTAAAAGTAATTCTCCTTGTTTCCTCTCTGGTTCTTTTGTCAATTATCTTAAACCTGTGTTCTCTGGCTACTGATCCACCCGATAGAGGAAATAATTTCTTCCTATCTACTCTATCAAAACCCTTCATAATTTTGAACACCTCTATTAAATCTCAACCTTCTCTGGTCTAAGGAGAATAATCCCAGCCTCTCTAGTCTCTCCACATAATTGTAGTCCCTCATCTCTGGTATCATTCTTGCAAATTTTCTCTGTACCCTCTCTAAGGCCCTGACATCCTTCCTAAAGTGTGGTGCCCGAAATGGGAAAAATACTGCAACTGAGGCTTCACCAGCGATTTGTAAAGGATCAATATAACTTCCTTGCTCTTATACTCTATGCCTCTATTTATAAAGCCAAGGAGCCTATATGCTTTTTTTTACCGCTTTGTCAACTTGCCCTACCACCTTCAAAGATTTGTGTATGTGAAAACCCAGGTCTCCCTGTTCCTGCACCCCCTTTAACATTGTAACATTAATCTTATATTGCCTCTCCTCATTTCTCCTTCCAAAATGCATCACTTCACACATCACTGCATTAAATTCCATCTGCCATGTGTCTGCCCATTTCACCAGCTATCTGTGTCCTCCTGCAGTCTGCTGCTATCCTCACTGTTTACTACATTTCCAGATTTTGTGTCACCTGTGAACTTTAACATTTTGTTCTCAATACCAGTCCAGATGATTAAGATCTATTAAAAAGAGCAGTTGTGCTTATACCGGGAATTCTGCTTCAATGCAGTGTTTCAGGCTCAGTTATGAACATAGAAAGAGGATGAGATGAAAGTCATCTCCAAATACTGCTCATTTTATCAAACCAGTAATTGAGAAAATCCCAAGTGTTTCATTATTTTCCTCAGGCCCATCACTTGTTTTGGTTTTATTTGCTGTGTGACTCAGTCCTGAGTGACGCAAAGTAAGCAAAGTCTTTTTTGTATTTACTCAGCATAATTTAGATGCAGCTATTTTTCTAGCATTCATTGAAATGAACCAGACCATCTCATTTGATGTTCAGGTCCAATAACAAGCCAGGTAGTTTACAGTGCTAACTAACTACATGTTTTTGTTGGACATACCTTTTGACACTGCTGCCACAAAAGAATTTGTTTAACTATCCCATGCCTGTAAAGATCGTACAATATAATTAAATTTGAGAGTAGGTTACACTTCAGGATGCTGTGTTCTTGGAAGTGCTTTGGAATTGAATATAAAAAAACTAGTTAATCACTGTCTGATTTCACCATTGAAGCTTTTAGTGTATCCTCTATAATGATTAAATGTTGGATTTCAGATCACACATGGTCATAATTAATCTAACATGATACAAAGCAATTTGACAATATACTTACATTTATAAAATGTAAATGTAAAATATTATGTCTGATGACATCGTTGAATCATCTCAAAGCACTTCACAAGATTTTATTGTAAAGTGCAGTGGCTACATTTGTAAGTGAGATGTGTCTGCCAATTTCACACAATGTCCCACAAACAGCTATGAAATGAGTAACCAATTTTATCTGGGGGATAAAGTCTGGCCCAGACAAAAACAGGAGAAATTCCCTTCTCTTTTTGAATAGAGCCATGGGTTCTTTAATGGTAGATGGAGCCTCAATTTAACCTCTCATCCGGAGGACATCACCTCCGACAATGCAACACTTTTCCCAACACTGTGTTAGAATGTCAGCCTGACATAGGCTTTAACCCATAACTTTCTAACCCAGAATAGGAAAATAAAAATAAATACAAATGGAAAGGTTGCTTGCAGAATCAAAATAGGTATAGGATTTGAAATACTTCATTTCAATTTAAATAACTATTATTGAATTTATTTAATCGTTTAGAGTTATTGTTGTCGCAGTGAGTTTATCCTGATTGATGAGTCACTCCGTCTCACCCCTTGCTCCCCACCGTTAAAGCCTTACTTTTCAACTCTGCTTTTAGTCACACCTCCCCCCCAGTTCCCTCCACCCCAACTTGGACTCTCGGCTCCCTGTCAGCTCCTGGAAGACCTTTGATATGGCCACCCAATGAGAAAGGCAGTCCATAAATCTAATTGTTGTTGGTTTTGAGTTCCTTTATGTTGTAATATTAATATGAGCTGAAAATGTACAGACAGTTGGCAAACAGTATGGCACTGCAACACATGGATAACCGTCCTTCATCTGTTTGCATGGCATTTTGTTCTCCACTGAACCTGAAGCACTCTGAGATGCTACCCTGCGTCCAGGGCACTATATACGTGCAAGTTGTTGTTGTTGTCGTTTGTTGTTGATGGCATTCCGTTTAATTCCTGCACAGCCTCCATTAACTTCTGCCTCCTCCTTCAAGCCAAACACTTACTTTCTGCTCAATAACCTTTAATTCTGTCGAAAACCCAAATCTTCCAAGTCCACCCAATACCTGAACTCTGCTCCAAAATTAGGGGAAGGACCTTTACTATCTCATAATAATCTTTAACAAAGTGCCACATGAAAGACTTGTAAGAAAGATAGAAGCCCATGGTATAAAAGGGACAGTGGCAGCATGGATCCAGAACTGGCTGGAAGACAGAAAGCAGAGAGTTGTGGTGAACAGCTGCTTTTCTGACTGGAGGGAAGTGTACAGTGGTGTCCCCCAGGTATTAGGACCACTGCTCTTCTTAATATACATAAATGATCTGGACTTGGGTATAGCAAGCACCATTTCCAAGTTTGCGGATGACACAAAGTTAGGTAGGGTAGTAAACAGTGTTAAGGATAATAGCCAACTGCAGGAAGACATAGGCAGAATGGTAGAATGGGCAGAC